TATACTGCGCAGTAGTTCGTTCTGTTCTCCTTTACGACTGCGAAACGCGGCCATTAAGAGTAGAAGATACTCGTAAGTCATCAGTATTTGATCACATATTTTTCTGCAAATATTGCCAACATCTGCTGGGATCACCGGATAAGTAATAGTGAGGTTAGACGCAGGATATTAGTGAATGATGGTAAACTAGTTGATAGGGTTGTGAATTAACATCGACTGAGATGGTTGGGCCACGTGTTAAGTATGTCTGAACACCGATTAACAAAGAGCGCAATGCTAACTAGTGTTGGAGACGGTTGGGAGAAAGTTAGGGGCGGGCAAACCAAAATGTGGCATCAGTGTTTGAAGTCACTAACTTCTGGTCTGAGCCATGTTGGCAGATGCAGACTACTTGGTTGGGGTCCGCGTGACTATCGTAACCAATGGTTGGAGACTGGTTGGCATGGCTCAGAATCGGTCACAATGGCGTAGGTGTATACACTCTCTTTCTTCCCTTAAACCTTGAGATTAAAATCGTCTCATATCTTTCTACGAATTAATTCTTTCTTCCTGTAATATGTCCTTATATGCAATCTTTCTTTTATATATTACCGCCACTGAATTCACTACTTCTATGAATCCAGTGTTCATCTTGTTGTGCTAATGAGGAATGGCAACTTAAACCGATACACATATGTGCCTAGTTCTACGTTGTAGCTGACTGACTGACTTAAAACTAATTATCAGGTATCCTTTAATTTTTGGCACATAACTAAACACGTCATTAAAATACTCATTCAGAAGTAACGAGGTAAAACAATTCAATTTATTTTGGGTGCGATCATAATGTAGATGTAGGTATATTTACTTAATAGATGATATGACAAAGTACTTGTTACTTACCAGTAGTTCTAACAAAAATATTTGGGAAGGGAAGAACTATAATCGTACTATTACAAAAATATGGGTTTTGAAGTTTTTAAGGTAAAATTGTAGGTCGTAATTAAAATGTAATGAAAATCTGTTATTTTTTTGTTCAACGATGGTTTACCTCAGTGAATAGAGTCAGATTAAAGGTATGAAAATTGTTAAGCAACCTGTTTTTATTAAATAAATGATGGTGACTAATTTTTTAAAGGATATTTTTGTGTTTAGCATGAAATTTGAAATCAAAAGCTGCTCAACGCGTTTTCTTGCCTGTGCATAATGCAGAAGTACCACTTGTAGACGTTAATCCTCGCACCCGGATACTGTTTCTGCTTGTGAAGTTTTATTCATTAAACTTTTAGATATTCAGAGATAGAACTTAGAATTACTAGTCCGGATGCTTGCACTTCTTAACTACGTCAGAGTTTTAAACAAATGAAGATATAAAGTTTAAAGCATCTTTCGAATTTATAAGCAAAGATGGATAGTGGCTAGCAGTGGAATCCAGGACGCGCGTTTCGTCCTGTTTGGGACTCATCAGCTGGATGTACCCCCATCTCAGAGTTGATGTTCACTCTGGGAGCCGAACTCAGTACCGTTCGCTTCAAACGCCATCGCGTTATCCACTTATCTACTGAGTCATGTTTGTTTCGTTGTCATTCGTATCTGCAACAACGTACATAAATAAGTTGTCTCGAAATGAACACAGGTTGTAGATGAATTGATAAAGCTTAATTTGATAATAATTCGTACTGTCACGAACTACTACTGAAACTATTTCTACTAACTTCCATTTTACTAACAAAAATAAATCTTACACTTTTCAGGTCCTGATTTTTAATATTTCGTCACACCAAGAATACAAATTACTAGTTCATATGTTCGAATAATATCTATCACGCAATCTTAATGTTCTACGTACCACTCGAACCAAAAGCATATAGCTAAAAGCGTGAACTCCTACCGGTTTTCACTGCTAGCCACTAGTGAAGATCCCACTAAAGTTTCCAAACACTGATGCCGAGCAAACTGCTCAAAATGGGTAACGATATGCAAAATTGTCTCATAGTCAAAGTAATATTATTTGAGAATACTAGCCGTTATAATCCATTAAGAAACAAGCATATTTTTATATATAGTACTGACGGAGAAATTTATTAACTTCTACTTGACATTTCCAATCTTTATACTATCTATCATTGCCACAAAACCGTTTAATACATAATAGGTCCTTAATAAAAAGAATTGATTATACAGCAAGCCATCATAGCCATTTAGAAGACATGATCAATCAACACCCCTTTATTGCGTGATTCGTTTGTGTGAAGAAATTGTACAAACCATTGATTGTCTACCCCTTGTGGGATGGATATTCTTAGCAAATAATGACGAATATTTTAAAAAATTAGGTCAAACTGAGAGTTCGAATTTCTTCCCCATATGACCTCGATTAACATAACAAATAGTTGTCGATATAATTTAATTAATGCGGTGAATACCGAGACAATGATCATTAAATTAAGAAACCTCAGTCCTAAAGGTTACGTACAACGAACACGGTTGGCAAGAAAATCCACAGACCTAACCATCTTCGTCTATCTTGATAAACATGATTATTTCCAAGTTTGATTGTTATTTAGGTGAAACTTTCTGCTCTACTCTTCCAAACATATATTTGATATCGAATTGTCTTACCTAATTACATGATAGTTTCTCAATACTGACCATTTAAAACTAGGAAGCATCTAGGAGTCGTTTCATCAGTCTGTAGCTCTTTTGTACTGTATACATGTATCCTCAATATCTAATGACCTTTATACCACTGACCTGGGGATCGATGTTTTGCATTTTCAATTTCATGTTATGATACAACGATAATTTTTAAACTTTACTCCATATATAAATTTCAGTCCAAACTTTAGCCAGTGATGAATCACTAGAAGTTGTGAGTTGACACTATGAAGAATAATCTTGCTTTCACTTTAACATAAATGAGGACTAAAATCAAGCCAAATGGAAGGGTTTGATTGATCCACTAAATATTTCTTGGTTACCTAATAATTTCCTTCCTATGTGCCCTTAGACCATTAATATGGAAGAATAGAGGTTTAATTAGTATAACATTCTGATATATATACCCTGAATTAAGGCAGACGGAACTAAGGATCAGCAGAGACAGATGGTGGTGTGCGGTAGAATTCAGGATGTGCATCTCGCCCTGTTCGGGTCTCACTAGCTGTTCGCCCACTCGGGACTCGAACCTAGGAACTTCCACTTCAAACAGTCGCGTTACCCACCTAGCTACTGAGTTCAGGTAGCAATTAGCTTATATAATGTGATGAAGTCTAATTCATCTTGTATTGGTAATTTGGATCCCCCTGTATTACTTTCTACCAAAAATAAGATATAGATCGCTGTTAACAAGACCTTGTCTCATTGGAGTGGGGTATGCGAAACGATCAGTCTTCACTTAAACCCCGAAACGTGCTGAATACCAGTTTAATATAGATCCGGGCGACTGTGAAGCAAACAATTTGTTGCTAAAGAAAATTTACAAACAATCCGCTATAAGATGTTCAATCTTTGGGGACTTTAGTGCACCCACAGAGGAATGAACAAAGCCATTCGATCAGAATGTAGTTTAAATCATGTGTATAATTGCTTTTGAAGAACACCTGAATGGGAGCGTAAAGCGAAACCGAAATTCAGCGTACGACCATACATTATCTTACCATAAAGTAGGCCATGAGAAAATGCCAAATCAGCTTCAAGACAACTAAGCGGAGATAGCCACCACCCAAACTGTCAACAAAGATAGTTGGTCTGCCCCAGTTGGATGAAACATCTCGAAAGCAAATACTGAGAATACCATGTCTTGAGCAAATTTATCTGCGGTGACAAACCCCCTTGAATAAGATTTGACTGGTATTCCAATGATTATTGAGTCACCTGGTAGTTCTTACAGATGGACCAAACCAAAAGAGGTCAATGTCAAGTCCCCCAATAAACAGGTAGGTGAACATGGACCATGGCGTGTGCCGAACTTATTTCAATAGTTAATAGGATTTTGACACATCATATCCAAGCTGGTGTCTGGTCTGCTGATTTATAGTGGACAACACAACTTCTCGGGACATGTACACATTAAGACGAGCAACATTTTAGGACGTGTTCATATCGTTACTGCTTAAGAATCATAGCCGTTATAATTTCCTACACAATCCTTTTCACACAACTTCCGTCTCGACAAAGGGTTAGCTAACGTGACCAGTCGATCACGAGTCGGTTTGTTAAAACTTGCGATCATGGGGTAGCTAGCGAGCGCAACGCACCACTTCGACGGTCCTCACTGGAGACTACTATTAAGAACCAAACTGAACGCTATATAATCACCTTCAAATAAGATAATCAATAATTGAGATCTCAAAGTCTTATCGCACGGCACCTTAAAATCTTTCCGAACCTCAGAACAATGACAAATACAGGAGGCGGCAACTTTGTCTAAGAAACACGCAGTATCACACCACCACCTAACACACTGCCTTTACCGAGCCAACACCAATTAAACATGGTCAACATCTTGAGAGTGGTGAGAAATGTTAACTGCGTGCCCATGGGATTCAAGAGCACCGTGAAGTTCCTACAGATCCCCTTACATTTCGACACAGAAGCGAAGTACGTTGCACTACATTAGCGAACTTTAAGGCCGAATACATTCATCCAAATGTAGACTGAACTGACCGAATGTCAGGATACGCAATAATAAGGGTTTTTCGCTTTAGTAAACCATGCTACGCAGCACAATGGCACCACGGACCCCACCTAATACCTAATTGCCGGTTACTATACATTTATCCTTGATCCAACACACTAACGGAGTGTAGATGCGGAGACAAGACGCCTGACTTAACTGTAAGCGACAAAACGGACGAAGTGAATGACAAAACGTCCATTGTCAGTTGTAGATAGTGTGTGAATATAAAACTTATTTTGGACGCATTAGAAGCTTAAATGTCCGCATCTAAGATTATCTCGAACAGAAGTTGGTAAAATTACCAAAGACCAATCAAAATGGAGGAAAGAAGAAAATGAGTCCGAGCATCTGTTATATTAGATATAAGTGAATAATAAACTTGTGCAAAAGCTGCCGGGTTAGAATAAAAATCGATAAAAATGTTATAAAAAGACATAAATGCCTGGAGTGCATAAAAATGCCGAGGTTAATCACTGGCCTCTTCGTCTGATTCCTTGTCGACTGAAGGTGCATCACCCCCTTCCGATTCCGAGTCGGACCCATCGTCTGATTCTAAAATTTGCGTCAGTAACTATAAGCTATTACTTTCAGTTTGATGTTCACCGACATGTTCGCCGTTACTGCCGTTTACATGTTCGCCTAAGAAAAAAATCATACAAACACAATACTTACTTGTCCCATTGGTGCCTTTGGTGTCTTGTGAGGCATCGTCTAAAAGTCGAAATTACAGAACTTATGAAACTAAGAAGTATATAAAGGTCAAAAATCAGTGTGTGAAATCAAGGGATATGGCATGTATGCCGAAGAGTAAACTAGCTCACCTTCGGTACCATCTTCGTACAACTCACCCTCGGTTGGTCTACTCTCTGGGCTGTGAGCCTTTTCGTCGCCTTCGTTATCATCAGTCTCTACATTAAGCTTGAATACCTAACAAAACAGAATGCAAACCTTTTCTTATCTTCTTGACAATTGGCTCATCATTACCATTCTTAGGTTCGTGATCTGCACCGTCTTTAGCATCCACAGACTTCCTTTTCAACTCGTCAATTTTCGACTCAACGTGAGTCTTACCATGGAAAGAAACAATAAAACAACTTACGACTTCATCTTTGTGTGCAGCAACGGATTCCATTTCAGACAGGTTTGAGGGCGTGCACCAACGACTTCAAAATCGAATCTAATGGCGAACCTCGCCATTGTACTCTTATACGACGCGTTAAAACAAACTTCAGTATACAATTGCCTAAGCATATAAACAAGATTGTCCATCATATTTCAAGTCAAATTAGGTCAATTAGTTTATATTTCTTTGAATAATTAAAATTAATGTCTTACTGCTTTTCTGGACCTGAATTATCACACTGAGTTGACTTCTCTTATGTTACGAAAGTGTCTCACAATGACTAAGGTCTTTGTGGAGAGAAGAAAGGATTTAGCCTGTGATAAAAGTGATCGACAAGTAAAACCCGGAATAATCTTTTCCAGTATCTATGGAACCAAAGTGGTTATGCACTGTTCTTAATGTGGATGTAGCCAAAGATTGGGTCGATATGTCTTCTGTTAAGGAGTTCTATAACTCACTGACTCGGACTGCGAAAACGTCGTTTATATGTGGTCATTATTATTCTACTCTTGGCGAATATTCCTGCAGTGAGACGTTTTTGTACTCTGTCATGATGAAGGGTTAAAAGCGGCATGACATATCATGGCCTCACCCTGCAAATACAATTCTACTACTATAACTATAAAAGTGAAGCCTGAAAGCCAGCTAAACAGGGTTTGTTCTTAGTTAGGATTCTTCCATAATTGATTTGTTACGAACACGTTTTTACGAGAGCGATATCCTGATAAATGTAACGAGGCATAATGCGTGAATCGATATCCGGATAAAATATTCAGTAAACATTGAATGGTTTTAGATAATTGCAGTTCAAAACTGTCTAACATTTCGAAAATAAAACCCGGGAGTGAGGCTTTTATGCTTTCAGAATCCTGATGGGAAGCGACCCTGAAGAAAACAACGAAATGTAATGTCCATTCCTTTTAAGTTACGGAGATTAACGTTGGAATCTCCCAAAGATTTCCAAATGGGCAAATTATAACTTATTAATTTCACAAGCATACTACATTTGCTGACAATGTGAGGAGAGACGTTCTGTCGGTATGGAAGTCTCTTTGTTGAGACTTTATCAGTTGGATTCAGTCTCTATCCCAACCTTAGTATTCGCTGAATGAGAAAAGTTTTGCTAAAATAGATGATTGAGTGGATCGTTACTGAACATTAAGAATAGTGGTCTGTGAACTAAGTGTTGTGGGGTGCAATTCATCAATGAGATTCAGTCATTCAGAGTTTCGCGAACTCTGATAGCTCGTAATCACACCTATGGGTAATTGAGCACCTAATTATACCCACAGAACTCGGTTTCTGGCAAAGGATTCTGTACTTTATTCTATAAAATGACTTAGAGGAATCTAAGGGGCTTGCCTGATCGAAGCATGGTGTCTTAACCACGTTCCCGTGTTTTAACACGTTGAATTTTACCATACTTCATCGACCATTCAATGCCCGGTGTACATCTATTAAGTTAGTGTACACTTGGCTCGAAGTATCTCTTGGTTGCAAATCAATGTTACTGTTGTGTCACTATAGACGTTCATGGAATGGCAAGAAGGTAGCAGAGTAAGTTATCACTTTCCCTTGGAACTCTGGGCTCTTTGTTAGTTAAGGTAAGAGATTCACATGTGCCCGAGACGTTCAGAAGTTTTATGATTTTAAATGATCGAACTCCACGATCTTTATATAGCTATGAGAATGGATGTAACAGTAGTGTACAAGCGGAGAGCTTTAGTGTGGTAATAACTAGAATGAAATTCTTTAGGTATTAATCTAACGATGTCATTATGAGTTTTGAGAGCTTCTGAAATTCTACGATCTGAAGTATTCAGTGAGATATCTCTCTCATCAAAACAGTAAACTATGAATCTGTTGCTTGTTGGAATATCATTTTTACGTGCTGTGATAGTGTTTTCACATTTCTGAATACCTTTTTTTCTCCCACTGGTACAATGGCGGTAAATAAACCTCAAGTGAATCATCGATATTTCGTGCTGACCTCACTAGTTTTAATGTACTTATCTAGCTGAAGGCTGTCGCTCACGCATCTGCATCGGGTCACGAGTGGATACACTGTGCTCAACTTCTCCTACAACCGATAGCCTGTCAGTCACTTCATGAGCACGGCGTGACCGATCCATGGTAGTGAAGCCATTAACACGTGAATCCAACAGGTACGTCACACCTAGTGTGTTTACCAGTGATGTTCCGAAACCTTGTGAAACTCTAAAAAGGTCTATTTTCAAAAACAGAGATCTAACTGATCGATAAGGCTTAGATCAACTACTCAATAACATCGATCTACATGGCTGAGCAACGAAGATGTTGTTATGAATGAAAGAGGTCATTGGTCAACGAACCTTAGACGGCTGTCCCTTTAGACTTTTCTTGCGTAAGCTTCCTCAGCAGTTCCAGTCAGTGCTTGTCTCATTTCAAATTAACGTTGTAGACGAGCTGGCTGCATTTGTCGGCCGAATTCTGGAGGTCACCAGAACTTCTAAATCCGAGTTTTTTTCAGCCAAAGAAAAACCTCAAACGAAACAACATGACGTTACCGAACTCTGTCATACCCTGACACGTTACCTTAGCACTCGTCATGACTGTAGACAATGCCAAACTACTCGAATGAGTTCTTCACGAAAACCGTCTGTCTCTAGAGCACGAGAGACAGATAAATATGATTGGTGCTGGTATCATAGTCAATACGGAAAATCCCAAAGTTGCAGGAAACTGCAATTTTTCGAGCTCCAAACTGATCAACACGAAAAACGTTTCGGGAAACTTCGCAGCTGGCACGCGTTAAAGGCAACCGTAGTCGGCGGAGATCGCCACACATAGTGGGCGTTACATTTATCTTAACATGAATTTGCGCAAACTCACCCACTTCGTTGTTGCAGATGTTTTTATGCTAATCACTGGTATAGACCTGCGATAACATCATAATTTACTCGTGGACAAGCGCGAAATGTGGTTAGTAGACCGAAATACTAATTTGTTTGTTTGTGTCTCCAGGTACAGTAAAACATACGATCGATCCATACTACTAACTAACGCTTGATAAGTACCTTGAGTTGTACCAAACGCAACAAAAATTACCAAGTGTAACCAGCAATGTTATACATCGCGTCACGACTACAGGAACACCTGTATTCTCTAAAGCGCGTCGGCTAGCTTCGCAAAAGCTGGGGTTGGCTAAAAAGAAATTCGACTATGTGATGAACTCAGGAAACAATCGATCATAAAACGGCCGATGAGCGTATCCCTTACACATGGCTCCTAAAAACGACAGCAGAGACTGAGGTCCAACTAGTGATTATCGACGACTGAACACGAAAACCACTCGCAATCTTTATCTGTCACCGCACAATCACCACCTGACAGCTGACGTAAAGGGTTCAACTGTTTTTTCGAAAAACAACATGGTTAAAGAGTATAACCTAATTTACATGACTACAAGCGACATCCATGATATTACTTTCACTGCTCACTTCGGAATCCATACATTTTTGCGCGCGCCTTTAGGTTTAAGAGATGCTGCATAAAATATCCACCAACTCGTCGATGATGTCTTCAAGATCTCAATTTCGTACACTCGAATATAGATGACTGCTTGATATCAACTCCGGACAAAGAATCCCATCCTCAGCAACTTGGCCTTGTCCTCAAACGGCTAAAAAAGCGCGACATTACTGTAAACATTCAGAAATATTAAATCGGGACCGACTCCCTAGATTTTATTAGACATTCTACTGAAGCTCAAGGCATTCGACCACTGGAAATTAAAGTAGCGGCCATTTTGGATTACACGAAACTGACCACAATCAGGCCTAGCAAGCTTCTATAATCGGCTCATATCAAATTGCGCGTCCCATACGAAACCTTTAACCGACCAACTTTGTGTAAATGCGAAATCCATCAATTCGGACCATATCAAGAAAAAAGAATTCTCTACAATAATGCAAATTATCGCCAAAGCAACTCTGCTCGTACACGAGAACAACGAAGCACCCATTAGTATCGCAGTAAATGCATCCGACTCGGAAGTTGGAGGAGTGTTACAACGATGTGTTAACCATACATGACAACTATTGGCATTCCTCTCGAGACGGTTGCTAGATTCCGGATCGAAGTATAACACATTCGGCTGGAAATATCAGACATAGATTGCTCTGTAAGGCACTTTAAACACTCCATTGAAGATCATGAAATCATTTTTTCACCGATCACGAAACTCTAATCTTCACTTTGAGCTCATCGTCAGACAAGCACTCTCCAGTGCTGAAAACAGTGTTCTGATACACAAATGGCGTATAACCTATTGAAGAATCTAACTTCATTGTTATATGAATCTCTCAAGGAAATATTAATCAGTGATAAATATGAACGTAAAGCAAGAGAAAAGTTTCATAAAACGGGTTAGGGTACAATTATGGTGACCATTTAGGAACTAGAATTCGTGATCGGTTGATTTGTAATATCAATATTCCGAATTGTTACGAAAGATACAATCTTCACTGTGGTGGGTTACTCAGTTAGTGTGATATTTTATAAGGTACACTGATCATAAAATTATTGGGGATAACACTTCTTATATATAAATGCAAATAACATTAGTAAGATTCGTATTCTCAGCATGACAGTTGACACGCTTTATGGAAATTGTGTTGTGACGTGCAACTGATAGTCCGGAGTAAACCCACTTAAAGTTGAGAGCTTCAACAAACTGCAAGCTTATATCCTCCTGGAATATCTCAAATATTAATGTTTGCACAGTTCATCGTCATACGTTCCATATGTGTTTCAGTGGCACATATTAAGGGTGCTTAATAGCAGAATAAAAAAAGGATAGGAAGCTGAGCAGACAATATTCATGACTACTGGAGAGAAGTCAATTATGATGGAATAAAAAAGATATGACTACTTAGATTTATCCTCTTTTATTAAGTTAATTCTTAAGCAAGGGCATTCTAAGAGGTTGTCCAAAAGAATCTGAAAGTATAGGATAATGTGTAGTTTAAAAATGTATTGCTGAAAACAGTGTTCTGATACACAAATGGCTATCTCCTTTTTCAGCTGATTT